TTTGATGTGACAACAGATGAAATAGCCAGGGGGATCGCTTGAAGTGACTACTTAATAAGGTGGAAAACCATCTGACTTGATCCCACTGAAGAAAAAACATCATGCTTTTGAGACAACAGCCCCTCTCTTGATGTGGTGACCCAACCTCCTGGGACCGTGCCTCACATATTCACACAGAGTCCATCACTGGCTGCTGAAGCTTCAGAAGAGATCTGGGAGAAGAATTGGGCTGTTATCACTAAAGCACATCTAGACTAGCATCTTATGCTTATCGTTGTCAGCACTTTTAAGTTTACAAATGGGATTTTTTTCTTTCAGTAGAGGTAGTTTGTTTTTGTTTTTTAAATCAGATTTTCAAATACAACCCTAAGAGCTAACTATTTATTAATGGACATTGGTTTCATGAAATGTCTTTAAAACAATAGATTAGAATGGTCTTAAAATATCTGAGGCTGCAAAAACTGTATTTTAAATAGACAGAAAAAATGCCAAAAAAAAAAAATCTCAGTTGGTCATTCTGTAAAACGCTGACCTCAGGTTTACTCCTTAGATGTTGCTAATTCTATATTGTATTCACTGTATTTTTTAGTTACAGCTTATCAGAAGATTTCTATGTAGGAATGTTTATTACTTGAACACAGATTTAAAAAAAAAAAATATTTAATTTAGAAACTTTTTTGCCCAGCTTTTTCAAGACTCTTCCCCACCTTGAATTTTAAAAAAATATTATATATACTAATTTTAAAAGTAAGAAAAAAATATGGAAGTGTTAATTTTAAGGTACTTTTAATTGAACTTTGTACATTGTTTAAGTACATTTTGATTCATATCAAGTCTGTAAAGCTTGGCATTGTATTTTGTGTATGCATGTTTTCATTTTGCAAATATTTAATATATAGACCTATGATGTACATCTATAGGTTACCTAGATGTTATGGGTACTTTTAGTTTATTGTGAGTATTACGGTTGCATAAATAGCTAATAACCACTGGGCTGAATAGCTGCAAGCTTTTAATTATTTTTAAATCTGTAAAGGAAGCTGAAACTGTATTGGACATACTTCTTGTTTAGGCAAAGCGGCACGTAAGCAATTGCTCTGTTCAACTGCTAAGGCATTAGTGAAAGTGTAAACTTGAGACTGCATGTATTTTGGTATCTACAGGACTGCTTGGTTAAAATAAAAATTGAAGCCCTGTGCTAATTTGTTCACAAATAATTGACTGTACTGATTGCCACTGTACTTTGTTATATATTTTGACATTTTGTTACATGTCCTTCTTGTCCCCTGGAACACAACTTGAAACTTATGTCACTAGAGTTCATCTCTCCTCCCACCCCCCACCCCCCTTTTTTTTTGTTTGTTTGCCATAAAGTACAATCTGTACATACCCCTAAGTTGGAAATTTTATGCATGTTCTGAACTATTCAAGTATTTTATAAACAGTAGCACACAATAAATTTTGTGCATGGGCTGCGGCTCCTATCATTGTGTATTGGTTTTATTTGGCACATGTAGGTCTAGTCTGACCTTGAAAATTGTTTGGAAATAGTCTTTGAAATTTAAGCTATTGAAAAAATAGCCTGAAAGTTCAGATTTATCTTGCAGGGTAATAGTTGAATGTAAATACTGTTTAATTTGAGTGTTGTGGTTTTTTTTTTAGTTCTCTCTCCTAAGTTAAATACCTAGGTATTTTCTGTCTGCTAAACTAGACATTCATTGCTGATTTGTACAAGCTTGTAAGAGCAGGATTAGTTGATTCTAGGACTGTTAAGTATTGCTACATTTTGTGCCTTGAACTAGACATTCAAGACTAGTGAAGCGTGTTGGTGCTGAATTTTGGGCAAAGGGGGGAACTGTTTGACAGTCAATACAGATACATGATTTAGTCTTTTGGGTGTATTCTTTTTAATGTAAGGACAAGCTGCTGAACAGGATAACAATTAAGATAAAATACAAAAATAGTAAGTAACACACTGCTGAATGGATTTCTAATGTTTGATTTTACTTTATTGCAGATGCATTCTAATGGGAATCGATTCTCAAAGTTTGAGTGCAGAAGATCAAGTTAAAAAATGGTATGTTTTTTTTAAGCACCCTCATACTTGCAAGCTGTGTGGTCTGCAGGTGATATCATATTAGAGCAGAACAAGCACATGTTGTTACCAAGCACAATGGAAATGTTACATGATGAACCTGATGATGGTACCTTCCTTCTTGTAAGTGCTACAGGGAAATTTCTCAACCTAACAAGATGATATTTTTCATGATTTGATATTCAGATCTTAGTTGTGGTTATGATTCTGACTAGCTAGAGTTACGTCTGTAGAGAAAACAGATTGTCTTTGAAAAGATCTTATTGTAATTGGAGAGAACCCCTTCCCATACTTGTATGGCAGTAAGTGCTGAGCTGCAATGATGCTTTCTTCCTTGAGGATTCCCTTGCAGTATCCATTGTCTGAAGTAGTTTTTGCCAGATATGAAGGCAGAGCTACAGTAGAAGAAAATATGTTGTCCAGTTGTTGACCTGATTTCTCAGGCTGCGTGTCTCCTGTTACCTTTTAAGCAAGTAGTCAGGTAACAGCATTATGTTTGTGGGTTTTCTTTGTTTCAAAAGTAGGTACTAATCTTTTGGTACTGTTTTTGAAAGGTGGAGTTCAGAGCTATCTCTAATTCTTATATTGTTGGGGAGAAGAAATTATATCCTCCCTCCTGGAAAACTGTAAGTAGTTTGCATTGCTCATTTTATAGTTGGGGGGAGAGAGGGAGGGGAGAACAACAAAAAAAAAAGAAATCTTTGAGTCCTTAGTCTGTTCTTGGGTAGGGAGGGAAGAAGACTTGGAAACAGCTCTGTCAGCCAAAGGACACAGGTAGCAAAAGCCATGACAGGCACAGCTGGTTTCTGCCTTCAGTTGGAGCAGTCAGTGCTGCTCTGTCCTGGGCTCAGCAGATACAGTGTGGGTACCAGGGAATAGGCCATTTCTTCCCTGAACTGCTGGATTAAACCATCATCTTGGGTTCACCAGCAGGGAGGAGGAGTCCTCAAAGGTGCTCTGTGGGTTCAGACTGTTCTGGGAAGTGCAAATGCATGTTACTGAAACTGAGGAGCAAAGGTACAGAATGCACTTAAGGTTTGGGAGCATTTATTTTGAAGAAACTTGCTGCCACCTGGTGAGCCAGGCAGGGAAGACCAGCCTAGTTCACAGAGCCTACCTACACTTAGTTTAATGGCAAACACACAGCATCACCACCCAAAATGATTTACAGGATTAAACAACAGCTTTCCTTTCAAAGCTTAATAAATTCCAAATGTGAACTGGAAAAATTGCTATAGTTGCATCTGTAGAACTGTGAAGAAGATGATAGTCCTCTTTAGGAAAAAGACAAATGGTTGGGATTGGGCCTTTTTTTCTCTTTGAGGTAGGTCTCTCCTGGAGTCTGAACACTTTTCTTTTTTCTAATGTTTAATCCTGAAACATCATTATGTTAGTTACATAGAAAAATTAGGCTTTTTCATCAGTAGTATAGTTCATTCTTTCCTTGTGTCCTTTCTGCTACAATTTAATTATCAATCATTCAGTTCTTGTTACTCAATTTATATACTCAAAAGAATTCAACAACTCTTTGTTACTAGCATGTAATGTAACTTTTTGCTATAGAACAGGTGAGTATCATTTGGACATAGAACTGTAGTTATGTGGTCCCTTTCTAATAGTAGTGGGATGTTCAAGCCAGATTTAACATTCTGCTTGGAATGATAAGTGAAGGGGTGGGGCCTTTTTAGTCACATGAAAAGGTGCAGATGCATTAATATGCTTGCTTTATTAAATGCCAAGCTTCTTCGCTTGTAAGGAAGCAAGTGCAAAGAAGAGCACTCCTGAGTTGTAAAGAAACAAGCAGCAAAGCTCAGGAGAATGCTGGTGCAGCTTAGAAAGTTGTTGTTGTTGACAGCTGTATGTATCCCAGTGGATACTTGCCTCAAGGATGACCACAGTAATGCAGAGTGGAATGTCTTTTAGTCTCCTCAAATCAACTTCTATTCTTTGCCTTTGGAATATTTAATCTGACCCAGGAATTCTAAACTGATATTTATTTCTGAGTTTAATGTGAGAAAAAGTTTATAGTCTAAAGTTAGATATCAGTTATAGATCACTCAGTAAATGCAATACATAAGCTTTTTTTGTACAGTAAACCTGGTATCTATTGCTTTGCAAAAACCTTTATGTAGATGCTGTGTAAGAGAGAAATGTTTGCCATATTGGAATCAATTTTACCAGCCCTAGCTGGTTTTGTTTGAAGAATAGAAACGGGGTGGTAGTCTGTGTGAGGGTGTCCAATAATACAATCATTATTTGAAAAAGCAGTGGTAAGAAATGTTAGGAAACACGTTGCTAGCAGCTGGACTTGAAGCTTCTGTTACACTTATCACCGGGGACAGACTCAGTGTGTCTTTCTAAAAAACAGAATGTGCTATTAAAAGTGGTTCTTTTTAAATCCTTTGAAAACATCCAACTAGTCATTTCTATTGTCTAGGTCCTGAACGCTTTGTTTGGACTTACATGTATTCTGTAGCATTAGCATTTAGATACTGGCTTTTGTCATTGCTCAGTCAGTTGTTGTAGAACCTGCTCCTTTATGAGGAGATAGATACTTCAAAATTAGATCCAAAATTATTTCCCCTTTCCATTGCTGCCTTAAACATAATAGTAATTAATTTAAGGAATGAGGTAGGGGATTACTGTTAGATTCTGCCAAGGTCCTTAAACTGTCAGTGCAATGTGACTTACAGTGAGCACTTGCATGTTTTTCAGCATTATGATGGACAGACATTAAAATGGTTTACGTTACAGCCTCGGGCTTTTTTTGTAGGACTCAGCAGTCAAATTTAGGTATTTCACAAAAGCTGGAGCACTGGAGATACATCTGAAACAAACAGTCTAATCATGTGAGAGTCTGGCAGAGTAGAGGTGGTTTTGTCTGAGTTGAAAAGACTAAGACTTAGGGCTAATAGACAAGATATATCTTTTATTATACAATAAAGAATATTATGTGCTGTAAATTAAGGCAAATGTAAATGCAACGAGCTTATAGAATCATCAAGAAGGCATATTTGATTAGATGAAGTTTAAAGTTATTCTTTTACACACAAGGATAGTCATGTCTGCATAAAGCATGTTACATATCCTTTAGTTAGTTTTTTTTTAAAAAAAACAACACACAAATAATAGTCCTCTTCTATTGACCAACAATTGCCAGCAGCAAACGCCGGTAGTCACCACTTGTATCACTTGCTATCATTGTAGCCAAAGTCTTCTGATACATTTGTGTGAACATCTGTTTAATTTGCACAAGGTCAATCTATGCAAAGGAAGAAAAAAGGCAAGAAGCTTTAAGAGTGTATGATTTTAACTCCTAGAGAGCCAACCCCCATCTCCTCCATCAGGGACTACAGAACACATGCGAAGGGTGAAAATGAAACTGATAAACTGCACATCTTACAAGCCAGCTGGTCCCTGTAAGGACAGAGTAGCATCCCCCAAAGCAGAGTCTAGCAGTTGTTCCTTGATTTGTTAGGACTGTACTCTCCTAATTCTTGAAGTTGATTATCTGCTACATGGACAGGCAACCACAGTTAGGAAGGAAGATGAGCAGCCCTGCTATCTAGCCAGATGTAATTAAGTTATGATATAAAAGCTGGCTTTAAAACCAACATGTTCATCTAAATCCATAAAAGCTTCATTGCAGTACACAATTTCTACAGCTTTGGAAGGACTGAGTGAAGTCTTCCACCTTCTAGTGGAAGGTGTCCCTGCCTATGGCAGGGGGATGGGAACTAGATGATCTTGCGGTCCCTTCTAACCCAAACCATTCTGTGATGAGAAGCTGGTTAGGGTAGATAGATTTCCACTCCATGTGACATTTACAGAGGAGAAAGTTGTTTCTTACCTCACTGCGAGTGACTATAATTCTGATGAGGGTAGAATCATCTGTGCCAGCTCCTTTCATAGAATGATAAAGTCTTTCTGCAAAAAAGGCTGGGCGATTCAAAGCACATTGCACTGCAATTAATGATAATTTTAGGATTAGATCCAATATTGTATGCTGTATAGCTATACATATATATGTGTATCAATATTGATACATACACGGCTGATACAGGATCAGTTCAGGATCTTTGCTGTGGACAGCTGTAAGTAGGTACTGGTGAATATCCAGTTACTGTGGATTACAGGAACTGGTTTATAGAGCTGTTTTGTTTCATGCTGACCAAACAAGTTATTCCTTCACAAGAAACATTACTGGTTATCAACAGTTAACTTCTTTGGAAGGGCTTTTCAAAGCTGCTCAAAATCTTAACTCTCAAATAGGTACTTCAAAAACAGGTTTTTTTTTCCTTGGATAGCTGGTACTAGGATACAAGGTGTTTTACTCATGCTCCATTGCTAGAATCTCACTAACAAAAGTACAGCTGTAAAGAGTTCTCACTCTAGTAGTTACAGAATGGATCTTGTTTCAGTTAAATCATTCACTCTCAGAGATTATTCTGTTACACAATTCCCAGGACTGAATTTTTCCCATAAAGCTTTTTAGCAGAATATAACCTAGGAAGTTGCTTCTCTGTTACAGCTACAGAAAGGCTGTTGTGTAGGTAAGCATTGGTAGGACTGGTGTCTGCAGATTTACTATTGCTAGAAAATCATGGCAGTAAATCAATTGTGCTATATTTGAACTGCAGTAAGACAGCAGGAAAAGGTGAATTCAAAACAGGTCTACTATTTTGCTGAAGATTTGCTTAGCAAATGCTGAGCTTTTTTGGGGCAGGTAGTGGCAGAGAAGAGGAATGGAAAGGGAACTGCGCCCAAAGTAGGTTCATGTCGGTTTTGAGATCACGTGTGGGTGGCTCAGACGTTTCTGCTGAGGTGCCACACAACCAGAGTCATGGCTCTGTTACCCTGGTACTCACAACATTTTGCAGAGCTCTGAAAAATACAACTTAGAAGCACTGACCGGTGCCCCTTGTCCCTCCTTTGGGAAGGCAGGCAACTACCCAGAAACAAGTAGTTCAAAACAGACTTCTTCATGGTGGATGCTTATTTTCTCCAACTACATGTAAAGTGAGTAATTTGAATACTATTAGAAGAAGTCACTTTTGTGCTAGCAGAGTCTCAGATTGCGTGTTCGTTTGCCACAGGGCCAGTGTTGAATCAGATTGTTTGTCAGTTGCATTTAGAAGGTTTAATTCCTAAGGCACAGGGGAAGGGGAACAACACAGCACTTACCAATAGTCTTCAAACCACGTTCCACGTTTCCAGAAAATTCTCGGTCAATGCTGCTTAATAAATCACGATTAGCAATCTAGAAATAAATGAGATTAATAGAAGGATAGTGAAGTGCAATAACAACTGGAACTGTCATTTCAAAGACGCTGACCAAGTTCATTTGAAATCAGTAAAGAACTCCTACCCTAGAGTAGGCCTCAACTGTTGCTTTCAGTTGAGGAAAACTTCTGCTTGCCAGAACCATATTAAAGGTAGATTCATCAGTCCCAAGTTTTCCTTCACCTGCTTGGTACAGACGCTGAGCATCTTCTTGAGCTTTTTGGTAATCCACAGTTTGATTCTCATCCCGATTACCCTAAAATCAAAGACAACAGATGACAAATTAAATTACACAGAGAAGGCTGTGCTTTAACTGCTTGCCGTGTAGAGCCCAAGCATGTATCTTCAAAGCTTCAAGCAGAAAAGAGTAATACCAGTTTGGAATACATTATGATGTTGCTTTAAAACTACTCTTTGGTTTAATATTTCTTATAGGCAACAAACAGAAGTGGCCCAGAACCCCATCTGGAGGACATGCTTTAAACTGTAGATACACCAACTGATAACTTCATTTAGAACCAAGTACTGTACTTAATTCTCTATTTTACTTAATAATACAAGCTCTCTCTTGATTTGTTTGTTCCTAGGCCTCAAGTTGCAAAGAATCTTCCCAAATGAATTATCTTATTATCTTATCGAATATGCACACCTGAAGTATCTCAGGTCTTCTATTTTACTTAGGATTTCCCAATTTCCATTGAGAATGTCTCCAGAAAACACTATAGTTACAATAAGCCAGTAGGGCTTATGTGACATTTAATGTGCTTTGGCTTCTTTTATTTTGCTGCCCAGTGCATGGATGGATACTGCTAAATATACTGGCTGAGCAGACTGAATACATGCTCTCAAATACTGCTGTGTCTATAATGGCTAATATAATATTTAAATGGTGTGGTTGTCAGTTATTGTAAACTACTGGATTTATCAAAATAAAAATTAACAGCATGAGCCTTCTCAAGGTTTCCTTTTGTGTGGATTTTGACTTTTTAATCCAAATACCTAAGTGCATAGCTCTCACAAAAGTAGAGGCAAACAAGACAGAGAATTGTCATAGAAACTGTAACAGCAAACAGGCAGATAACTGCAAGTTACTATTCTTCAAAACAAAAAGAGTCCTAGTAAATGATGTGGGATAAGCAGGCTCCAGTGTTCACCTGAGTTCAATAGTAGCACCTCCCTAATTTCTGGTGAAGGGAATGAAGGCTATGGTTTAACCTGGGAGGTGAGGTTTGCCCTTTGTCTTAGCTTTTTTGTAGAGATTCTCACAGGTATTTTATGTACCATAATGGTTATTCTGTCAAATTCACAAATTATTTTGTTAACTTATGAGAAAAAAAAAAAAACAACTTTTTGCTTTAATAGCAGTGTGGAACACTGCTTTATAGTACCACTTGATCACATCTGCACAACAAAGTATTTACACCTAAATTCCCTGAGATGAATATAGGATGCTAAATTAGATCACACAGTTCATTACAGATTTGTAGATAGGAAGTCTCTCTTCCTTGAGGAAGGATTGAAGTGTCATCATCTTGTCATTAGGGAGTAAGTAAATAGCCCAGGGCTAAGTTCTTAAAAAACCTTGTTCTTTCTAAGCATACCCAGGGATTTATGGTGTATATATATTTTATATATATATAAAGTTTATATTAATTATATATAGCATTTTATATATAATTGTTATATTAATTATATATACATATACACACACACCATTGTGTATATATATACACACACAGAGGGATACTATTTATAGAGGCATTATGAGAGTTGGACTCTACAACATTGTCTTACCAAAAAACCAAACCAACCAACCACCACTCACTTGACACATGGATACAAGCAGTCGTTCAAAGTGTCCTGAAGTGTCTGCTCTGATGTCTTCTTCGATGTCCCTTCCAAATTCTGATTTATAGCAGTTCACTATTTCTCGTATCTCCTGGTTTGTCCTTGTGCAAAGGATCTCAATCAGCACTCTCTCCTGAGTGCCTGCTCCCTGTAGGCAGAGGCAAAGAGGGCCTAACTACAAAGCACTAGCTATTCCATTTTCTTCAACAGTGAAACTAAGCAGCCATCTGTTATTTTATTGCAAAACTTAATCCTTGAAGGGTGAAAGCACCAAGTCTTCTGTATACTTGGAAATGGAATGAACATTTCTTGAACATTCAATTCTGCAACAGTTCAAAGAAATATCCCAAAACTATCCACGATTGTGATATCAGCCAAAGGTAACTAGAAGATGGTTTATGAAGGAAATTCTTTGGCAACCTTAATCTGGAAACATACTGGAAGAAGACAGAACCATTAAAGCCAAAGGTGCAACACAAATTCTGTTTGGTCAGTGTAGAAGTGTGTTCTCTACTCCAGCAGTGGCTTCTTCCTCAGCACTGAGCACCAGCAGGAACTTTTCATAGATTCTTCCCTCTCCCCAGAATAAAAATTAACTGCGAGTGCTGTGTACAATGAGATCTTAATGGCATGGTCACCTCTAGTCAGGCAAAGATAAGATAGGAGTAGATCTACCTGATGTTTCTAGGTAATGTTACAGTATAATTTTTTTAA